TGATTCTCATGCATCTAAGCCACTAAGCCATCTTCAATTTCCATAATAGAATAAATGATTAAATATTTACAAAAAAAATACGTAAGTTGATTACTGCTATGAAAATGGAATTGGACTAAAATCTTATACATATTTAGAAAAAGAAAAGAAAAAGAAAAGAAAAAGAAAATGTTATTATAGGGCATTACTAGTAATTCTATTCGTAACAGTATTCAAACGAATATGATTTAAATATCATTTAAATATCATTTAAATATCTTTAAATATCATTTAAAATTCGATGCTCATATTTCTGTTTTTTGCTTTTATTTACATGGCTTGTACACTCAAAACATGATTTATCATTAATTTAAAACGCAATATTTGATTTCCATCTCAATGTAAATTGTTATTATTCTTAATATATTATTATCAATCAAATGTCGTCATTATTGTTTAATTCATTAATTTGTGGCGATACTAGGTGGGTCATCGACTGAGTTTCAATTCTGAATAAACATGATTACATAGTGACACGGGAAAAATAACAAGACAGATGGCAATTCATGATCATAAGAGTTTGCCGGATAAGTTGATTATATATAATGGATTTTGCAGAATAAATTTATATATTTTAGTGATTATATTAGCTATTTTGACAAATATTTGTAGATTTATTGCATTCTTCGTAAATGTAAAAAAAACTATATTATATTTTTCATTTTGACGATGCATTACTTTTGACTATCACTGTATACAAGATTCAAAAAAGTAAGTTGTGTAAGGTCAAGAATGCATTATTTGTTGATAGAATTATTTATTGATAAAAAAAATTATAAATATAAATTCTTAACAGTGAAAAAAAGTAAAATAACTAATACATTAACTAATACATTAACTAATACATTAACTAATACATTAACTAATACATTCACTAATACATACATTAACTAATACATTCACTAATAAATAGCTTAACTCAAAAATTCAGAGTGACCAAACTTAACAGCAGGTTGCGCCATAATGACAACAAAACCATCCTCAGTACAAGTAAGATCCGGCGGCACGCAAATAATAGTTTCGTCATCACATCTTTCTCTGCAACCACATCCGCAAGTACCGTCAATACAACAATTCGACCGGCAATCAGCATCATGTGCTCAGAATTTTCTGCAACCACCAGCTACAAATAACAATGCCAAATCCATGAGAAAATAGAAAGATAAAAATTATAAATAAAAATAATTAATCTCTTACGCTCATCTAGAGGCGATACATGAGCTGTTAGACCATGGATGGCACAAATAAGAACGATAAACAAGATATATATTTCATTGCAAAATATTGTTAGAGTTTGAGAATTTTTCTTTTTTTCTGTATATTTTTTTTTTGTTGTGTTTTTTTTTATTCTGTTTTTTTTTTTAAATAAATCCCTGTATATAAGAAATTACATGTATTTCGGATTTCAATTTTAAAAGTAATTATTAAATAGTATGAATATTATGAACAAATATTAACTAATTTTTTTCCATTTTACAAATAATTAATACCAGTACGATCACATGAAATGTGGAGGGATGGTTGCGTTCAACTTTTTGCATTCAACTTTTTGGTGCGTTATATTTTCCTATTTTAGAAGGTATTATGGTTATCATTTTCTTCCTGTTTTAGAAAATATCGTCATAATTACTTCATGCATATATGTGTAAAAAGAATGAGATTATAAGAAAATTACAAGTAAACTCTATAGCGAACTGTTTGTTCTGGTTATAAAAAAGTTCGCTACACAAAATTACTATGGTTTCTTAAGTAATCATAACTCTTTTCAGATCAGCTAATGTTAAGTTAAAAACAGCGTTTATTATAGGGAAATGCCATATCTGGTAATTAACCCACAAAATTTTCTGACACGTGACTATGCCACATCACGTTACAAAAATTTCCTCCTTATTAAAATTGAACGCGATCAACAATTTTTTTTTCGATTTTGTTCATTGCTTTCTTGGTGCCTTTTATGTCATTTTTTGGTGCTTCTTTCGTCATTTTTTTAGTTGTTCTTTCAGTGATTTTTATGATGTTTTTTCTTTTGGTGCTTCTTTTGATGTTCTTTTAGTGCTTCTTTCAATGTTTCTTCAGTGCTTCTTTCAGCATTTCTTTTGATATTCTTTCAGTGTTTTTTATGTTGTTCTTTTGGTATGTTTTATTTTTTTTTGAAGCTTTTTATGCATTTTTTGAAGCTTTTTATACATTTTTTCAATGTTTCTTTTGAAATTCTTTCAATGTTCTTTCGATACTTCTTTTGACATTTTTTTAGTGTTCCTTTTGACATTCTTTTGGTGTTTTTTATATCATTTTTTTAGTAGTTTTATTTTATTTTTTTGAAGTTTTTTTACATGTTTTTTTAATGTTTTTTATATGTTTTTTTAATGTTGTTTTCGATGTTCTTCCAGTGTTTCTTTCGATGTCTTTTAGTATTTTTTTTTGATATTTATTCAGTGTTTTTTGATATTTATTTGGTGTTTCTTTTGATGTTCTTTTGGTGCTTCTTTTGGCATCTCTTTTGACATTCTTTGGCATTTCTTTTAATGTTTTTTCAGTGTTTCTTTTAACATTCTTTTGGTGTTTTTTTCATCATTTTTTTTTTTTTTGTCACTCTTTTGGTGTTTTTTTTGTTGTTTTTTCAGAGCTTTTTTTGTTGCTCTTTTGGTGTTTCTTTTATTATTCTTTTGGTATTTTTTTGTTGCTCTTTTGGTGTTTCTTTTATTATTCTTTTGGTATTTTTTTATTGTTCTTTTAGTGCTTCTTTTATCATTTTTTTTGTGTTTTTTTTTGTGCTTATCTTGTTATTTTTTGGTACATTATTATTTTTTTTTTTGTGCTTATTTTGTCATTCTTTTATACTTATTTTATTGCTCTTATAGTATCTTTTTAGTCTTTCTTTCAATATTTTTTTTGTTATTCTTTTGGTGTCTTTTTTATAGAGTTTGCTTTGTGTAGATATAGTTTTGTATATTGTGTTGTTAAATAAAAAAACTATTTTAAATAAATAAAATATTTTACTTTAAGTATCATACACTAAATATAATAACAGAAATGGTATGTATATGCAATGCAATTCTTATTTAATGTGAAAATTATATATATATTTATAATTTATAATTAAATAAAAATTGTATATATATATATTGTATCTCAGATGCATTCTTGCATTAGATGATGCTCAGTCTGAGTTAGAATTAGAGTTAAGATGAAATCACAAGGTAATTTAGGCCAATTGTTACAGATCATTTAATGCTAGTCATCTGGTAGTCATCTGACATGCATCAGCTGCAATCTGATGCAAGGATCCATCTGAGATACAACTTATATATGCAATTTTTATTTAATTGCAAATTGTATATATATATGCAATTCTTATTTAATTACTGATACATATATATATGTACTATTTGCTATTAAATAAGAATCACATATAAATATATGCTATTTAGCTATTTAATATATAAGTATTAAAGCAAAATTTTGTTCTGAATCAGTAATAAGAGTATATTAATTAATTGGGTAATACAGGATCATTATTTATTGATTGATATATTATATATAATTTTGTAGCCTCCTGTATTGTTATGATTTATTATATAATTTACTTGATCTGTTGTATAATGTTATGATAAAATAGTATAATTTTGCAATTAGTAATTGTTAGTAGTATTTAAATAGAATAGGTTTTTTCTCATAAAAGATAAATTTTGTTTTTTCTACTAAGGCCAGACTAATTTAATTCTTTGTTTAACATAACCCCCTATTTTTTAAAATTTATATGAACCCAATACTCATTAATAGTAATTAATAGTATTTACCCCTCAATTTTTTAA